GTTCTTGAGCAATATTCCAGGGAATGTTTTCCAACAGGATAATGCTGTTGTCTCCATACTAGGGTTTGGTAAAGCTCGATGATTTGAAGCTCGATTAAGCTCGAGCTTGATTGTTTTTTCGGGCTTTCCAGCATTTGAAGTTGACATATTTACATTATCAAAAGACTTATAATGGACTTATAATTAAAATAATATTTTTTAGAAATTTAAAAGAAACTTTTTCTTTACTTATACATTTATTTATGCATTTATATTAATGAAAAAATATTTTAAAAACACCAGTGCATGTAGTGATTTATCTGATAGCTTCAACCTAATTTTGGTGCAAAAATTGTTGGCCACGGAAAATGCCCTCTCAGAATCAATTGACGTTGGTTTTATACTGTAAATAGCTTCAAGTAACAGCTTTAAATTTACAGTCAATTCACCGTTACTTTTTGACAAAGTAAATTCTTGACTTAATTTTTTTAAAGCGGTCACCTTCTGGTAGTTTGCTGGTTGGAGCTCCTAATAGTACTCGAAGTTTTTCTTTAAGAGAAGCACCAACTTTAGTAGTTGTTTCTGCTTCACTGCTTGATTTTTCATTTGATGAATTTGAGGACGGAAATAAACGCTTCATCAAAGCAGCTGCTAGTTCTATAGAAGCTTTTGATGTCGTTTTATTCAAGTTGTTTAGTGAATTCATCAAATCTATGATGTTTTTGTTGATCCTGCTATTGATGTAAAAATCGATATTTTCAGAAAGAGAACTACTTATTTTAGATTCTTGTTCAGTTAACTTCTGTAGTATAAAGTTGATAGAAAAGTTGATAACTTCTCTCGCATAAAGTTGCTGTTCATAAAGTGGCTTGTTTTTCACCCATAGCGTTAAGTGCCATTTCAATTGGTTTTAATACCAAGACTATCGATTTTATTAATTCCAGGTTTAAATTTGTAAAAAGACGTTCAGATCCAAGTTCAATGAGTACATCCTTTGTAACATTATACAATTTTACTAATGTTTCAAGCATTTTCAGCATTTAATTCCATCTGGTTTTACAATCCAGACAGAGTTGTTGCTATATCTGTAATTTTTCTCTACATTTAGACTTGAACAAATCTGAATGCACAACAGAATTTTTGAAAAAAATTACAACTTGTCTTTCAGTATTTATGTTTTCCTTGAAAGATTCATTCTGTAATTCAGTTTCATTAATGCTCAAACCATTATCAACATCATCAAAATCATCAGTCTCTCCTGAACTTTCGTCTATACTTTCTTCTGTCCCTGATTTTTCTTTATAAAAAGTTTTTGTAACAGCCAAATGCAAGGCATGCGGAAGACATGTTTGATAAAAAGCAAGTGATTCTTTTCCGAACTTGATCATAACATTTGCTCCATCCCCAGTAGTGGATACAATATCATGCTTAAATGATAGACCAAAAGATTCAAGGTGCTCTTCTAAGAGTTTTTGCATTTTTTTTTTTTTTTTTTTTTTTTTTTTTTTTTTTTTTTCATCGCAACTTCCAAAAATTCTTACCAATCCAATATTGATGCTTTTTTGGCAGGCAGTATGCAGATTTATATTCAGGAAATCTGGTTACCAATGCATGCTGGTCCATTCATACATGGTAATGGAGAATTTCTTTGATTCGGCAATATCTTTTTTAATATCATTTTTTGTTTTTTGTTTCACAGTTTCCATATGGTTATGAACAAGAGCCATTACAGATTTTTCATTGGCTGGAAGCTTCATACCCCTTAAGGCCAATGATTGTCGAATAAACTCTGACTGAGTGATTTGACTAATTGATAAACCATCTACTGCAGCCATTTTTGCAACAATCTCTTCAATTGATATTTTGATTACAAAATTATCCAAAGTTTTTGTATTTTTAGCTGTCTTTTCTGCCTCTACTTTGTCAACATCAATGTTATGATGATGCATTGTTGACGTATTTCCATTTAAAATGGAAATTTTGCATTCATTGTGGCATGCATAATTTTGGTCTGCCTTGGCGAAATGACTCCAAACGGTTGATCTTTTGTTTTTTGGCATGATTACTATTCTAGAAAAAAATAGAAAATACTATTCTAGAATATGCGTGTATTCACAGCTGTAACTTCAATAATATTAACCATTTTTACCAAAATATTGCTGAAATTCCGACTAAATTTGTGTTGAGATATTAGTAATCGTTTTCGTATTGGTTAAAAGGAAGTATAGCTTTCTGTCACGTTCGAAGTATTCCGAAACTTAATCCCATTCTATTTGTTTATGATTTGTTAAAACATGGTCTGCTTGTGTCTCTGCGTATTACTCTGTAATAAATGTTTGTTTAGCGACACATGGCATTTTCAATGTTCAAGAATTTATAATTTGGTTTTTTTACTGATACTAAGAAAATTATTATTTAATATTACATACATGTTACTACTTAAAATTAAAAGTATATTGTTTCTATCAGTAACGATTAAAAATCCCTGCATTTCTATGTACTGTAGGCAGCAACAAATTCATCTCTTTACCAAAACAAGTTTCAACTCTGTTCAGGTAGAAGTACTGGTAAATGTAAAAGCATTATTTTACTGTATAATTACTGTAATTTATAACCCTTTTTATGTTTAACTTTACTTATCTATAATACAATTACAAAAGTTTTAGTTTTTATGTACTTAAAGACACCAATAAAATGTCTTCTAGGATTCTTAAGAAATATGTTGAAAAATAAATTAAAAATAAAATGCAGAACGAAAACATTTTGTATGTACAGAGCTCGAAAGCCCGTCGGGCTTTGATTCGAGTATCGAGTACTCGAAAATGACCAAAAATTATCGAATATCAAGCTCAAGCCTAAGCTCTTTCCAAAGTCTACTCCATACTGCTGCGGTCACTCCATGTACTCTGCAGAATGTCAGTATGTTGGCCTGCAAGATAACCTACTCTTTTTCGCATCAAACACATAGGAGATGACAAATCCGACATTATCCACAACCAATACAGACTATTGCTGATTTGACCGACCAAGTATATAGGCATGTAGTTCCATATGGCACTTGTATAACAAATGCATGTGTGTTTGTGTGCTTGCATTCAACATCATGGTGACTGCCATGGTTATTAATTAACCATTTCACATTTGAATCTTGTGTCATGCTTTAACTTGTGACCTTGAAATATTAATAAAATAATTGTTACCTAGACAAATGCTTTGCCTACATTTCATTCCTCCAAATTGGCTTCTTCTTGTTGCTGGAATCACATTTTCCATCAGTGTTCTTTTCACAAACACTGATATACATTAACAGGCTTTGCTGTCCCGTGAAATAAGTGATTTCATATTTTCATCTCAAATGTTTTTTCTTTATTTTGCATATATACCTTAGATTTCTTTCTTCAGTATACAATTTTTTTTTATGTTTAACAGTTTTTATCATATTTTTGTGTTATGCAAACTGTTTATAAAATAACTTTATTGAGATATGCTTAACAGACAGTATGGATATATGAATATTTATTGAAAAATAAGGCATGACTTAGTAGATAAGCATTTGTGTGATATGCCAGGCATGGTCAAACTGTGGCTCACAGGACCCTGAGGCTCTCAAGCCCCTTAAATCTGATTTACTTGAAACAATTGTTAGTTTTATTTTGTAATAAATATGCCTTTTGAAACATGAAAGAGAAATCGTGCAATGACAATCATCTTTAATAATTTAAATTATGTAATAATTTATTTTATTTCAAACAGTACATCATGCTCTAATAATCAAAGTAGCAAATAATTTGGTTTCTGCAAAATAACACAGTAATGGCAATATTTTTAAAGTAGTTAATTGCCATTGAGACAGCACAAAAGAGAGACTTGAAGGTCTTTCAGGAAATAATGCACTATCATATTTTCTTTCAGGTGTTTATTTTATTTTAAGCAGCTTCCCCTTGCAATTTTTCTAGTCCCCCTGTTTCTCAATAACCTATATTAAGTGTTTTGTAAGATTTGCTATTTTTGGTAGGTTATGTCTCTTTTTCAGTCTTTGAATATCTTGTGCAGTCACTAAAGTTATCTCTTTTAAGGAGGAGAAACACAGTTTGTACTAGGGCTCTTTTAGACTAAAGATGCATTTTAGGTCTGGTAGATTCATATGTAGACTTGTCACAGAGCCAATGAACATTTATCATAAATCATTATGTTCTCTTCCTCAGTTTCTACCACACAAGTCATCACATTTGTTCAAAGATTTTGTAGCCCTAACCCAGGCTACAAAATCCATTTCTCATAAATCTGAATACAAAATAATAATGCACAACATATTTATGTTATTTCAGAGAGGATCTATTATAAAAACTTCAGGATTTGTAATGGAACAAATTATTTGGATTCTGTGGCCATGACATTTTCAAAATCTGAACTAATGATTTTATTTGCATATATTGTGAAAGATACCAAAATTGATAGAAACTTGTTTTAATTTCAAATGTCATTCGATTCTTGTGCAGTGTTAAATTGTGAATTTGGGGGTATATGATGTGAAAATTAGAAAAGTTGTGTTAAGTCAGAAAAAGTGATAAGTCAACAAAGAAGTAAAAAGTGTGTAACTAAAAAAATTAAATAGCACTCTTAACAAAGGGGGGGGGAAGTATGGTCATTCTGTATCTCCCTTTCTGTTAAGGATGCCATTTAAAGTTATTCAGCAAAAATAATAAAAGACACAAAAAATTGTATTTTGCTTAATCTCATTCAGCAGACAATCTTGTCCAAGTAGTTTTTAATAGAGATTTAATGGGATAATCTTCCTTTTATGAAACAGAATAAATTCTAAAAAATTATGTAAATCAGACTTCAAATTTTGATGGATTATATTCTTTGTACGTTCAGGGTTTAGTTTCTGGGGGAAAAATGAGTCCAGTTTAAATTATAGTTATATTTATCACAGTATTTTTGTTATGATTGTGCAAACTTAAAAAATTTATTATGTAAATAGATTTTTAAAAATCTTTTTTTTTTTTTTTTTTTTACAGCGTCTGCTTGCCATGTCTGAAAATAAAGTAAAACGTTATGAAAAAATATCATTTTTGGGTGAAGGACAGTTTGCTACTGTCTATAAAGCAAGAGATATTACAAATGGCACGATCGTAGCAGTTAAGAAAATTAAAGTCGGAAGTCGAACGGAGGCAAAAGATGGCATTAATCGCACAGCCATTCGAGAAATTAAGTTCCTGCGAGATTTAAAACATCCTAATATCATTGGATTACTTGATGTGTTTGGTCATAAATCCAATGTATCTCTTGTATTTGATTTCATGGATACAGATTTAGAGGTTGTCATCAAAGACCTACAAATTGTTTTGACTCCTGGACATATAAAAGCTTATATTATCATGACTCTACAAGGATTAGAGTACCTTCATGCTAACTGGATTTTACATAGAGACTTGAAACCAAATAATCTCTTAATAAATAGTGAAGGTGTTCTGAAGCTAGGAGATTTTGGTCTTGCTAAAAATTATGGCTCACCAAATAAAGTATATTCTCATCAAGTTGTTACTCGTTGGTACAGAGCTCCAGAGTTAATTTTTGGTGCTCGCATTTATTCGACAGGCATTGACATTTGGGCTGTAGGTTGTATATTGGCTGAATTATTACTCAGAGTGCCCTTCCTTCCAGGAGAAACTGATCTCGATCAACTGAATCATATCTTCAAAGTGCTTGGTTCACCTTCGGAAGAAGACTGGCCACATGTATCTACCTTGCCCCATTTTGTTCAGTTCAAACCTACACCTGCCATTCCTTTTCGAGATATTTTCACTGCAGCTGGAGATGATTTGATTTCAGTTTTGGAAAAAATGTTGGCTCTAAATCCTCTCAAGCGTTGCACTTGCAAAGAGGCACTGAATATGCCTTATTTTAGTAATCGACCTGCTCCTACACCTTGTTCACAACTTCCGATGCCTAGTGGAAATACATACATGCCAGAAGATACTTCAACTGGACAGTCACTCAAAAGAAAGATTGATTCAGATTCTGTTGGATTGGCAAAAAGATTAATGTTTGAAATATAGTAATAAACAAACATGATATTTCAGTTATTGAATTTTTGTATGATTTGAATGCATATGTGTACAACTGCTGCTTCCATTTTAAGTTTACTGGGGGGAGAGGGAGTAAATATTTTAGCAAGTTGTAGCATAGAAAATCTCAAGATTCAGTTAAATTATAAATTTATGATTAAGTTAATAAAATGCATGCCATATAAAGGGAGGAAGCTCTGTCTTGCTTTCTTTAATTCTTACTATTGAAATTTCATGTAATTTTCTAAATTTTTGAACACTCATAATTTGTATTTGAATAAATTGGATGAATGTACCGTAATAGCTGATTTTTCATTGGTAAAGGTCAGTTATCTTAGATAATCATCATTTTGAAATGTCTTATTTAATTCAGATAGCCATTATATTGTGGCATTACTTTGAATTGATCTACCGTATATACTCACGTATAAGTTGACCCCCCCACTTCGATATAAAAAATTCGTAGAAAATAATAAACCCGCGTATAAGTCGACCCCCCACTTCCAAAATCGATCGAGAAACTTTGAAAAAATTTTTAAGTACTACATTTATTCAAAATCATCTGAGGAAAAAAAGTAAATATACGATAAAAATACCTTGGTAAAGAAACAAAATCAAAATCCTTCAACGTCCGATTCATGGTCAGATTCGCCAAACATTTCATAGAACTCTTCTGAGGTCATTGGCTCGTCATCATACATATTTTCAGTCTCGAACTCTGTATTGTTACAATCACTACTAGAGCCTTCGTCGTCATTTTCACTTTCAAAAACAGCATCATCTTCCGTGCCGTCTAGTTCGTTGCTAATACAACATTTTTTAAATGATTTTATAATCATTTCAGAGGGTATTTCGTTCCAAGCATCTTTAACCCACTGAGCAATTAATGTAATATCGGGCACATGATTCTGGCAAAGAATCCGTCGAATCTGGACGTTAAACTCTAGTTAAAGTATGAAACTCTGTGATTAGTTCGTCACATAATTTAAGTCATGAAATTACTTCAAGTAAGTGACTTATTTGATAAGTCGTCCAATTTGAGTGCGGGAAGAAAACAACTGCATTATATAAAGAAATTTTTGAACTTCCGATTCTTTTAATTTTTTATGGCCCCGCGTATAAGTCGACCCCCCCCCCCACTTTGAAGTCTTTTTTTTTGTCCAAAATATCTCGACTTATACGCAGGTATATATGGTAATACTAATTCTAAGAAATATTAAAATGTTTATTTGTGATCTGTTTCATTAATTGTTATCATTTTTGTTGATTAGCAATGTGTTTTTCAACTTTCTGAAATTCTAATACTTTTTTTTTTTCATTAAAACGTAAAACAAAAAAATTGCAAATTAGACAAAATTCATGATACATAATATATAAATAAACAAGTCACATAACTTAGTTGAATTGCTATATATAAATAATAAGTCCAATGCATAGGTAGAGATTTTTATTCAACTTCAAATATCGAGTGAATTGCTACAATGCAATAAATGCACTAATCTTAGTGAAAGCAAACCCAATGTATAAAAGTTGTGATCACAGTCAACATACAAAAAAAGTATTTACAATACAAGGCATTTTTATTGCTATCTACAAAATCTGTACATTTATCCCTAAGCCGATAAAATCTAACCTAAATGATAAAAACAAAAAACATATACAGGTTATTTAAATAAAGGAATGTTAAATGCCCCAGTTTACCAGTAGACAACTGGATGGCACAGCAATCAAATAAATATTACAAAAAAAATCTTTATACATGGAAATTAGAAACTTAAAAATATGCTGCTTTACTTTTCTTTTTAGTTTGCTACAGAAATCTAATACATACTGAAATATGTGCATCACAGTTATGTATCTTCATTTTTCCGGGGGGGAAGAAGAGAGAAAATTTTTGTAACAAACTAAGTAAAAGTGAAATTACTTCAACAGTATAATAGTTTCATATTCTCTACATACTTAAAATAATATGGAATTAAAAAATTATAAAATGAAAACAAATGTCCTCTAAGAGTTAAATGATCAGTTACAACACTGAATCATCACAAACAGAACATTCTTGTTGCAGTGTACAACTAATTAAATTAAGGATCGTTGGAACCTGAAAGCATCTAAACAACTTAATAAATGTAATAAACATATTTCTTTTAGTTGTAGTCCAATACTTGATAATGGTAATTATTTCCATTATCCATTTCTATACTTTTAGGAAGATATAAAGAAATACATTATTTCAATATTCTTTAAAAATATTTTTAAAAACCTGAAATTAAAATTTCAGAACACATACAGTGGCTCACATTTGTTTTTGCACAATTGTATTTCTGAAATTTATTTGCATAGATCTTGTACTAAATTATGAAGTACAGACTTCAAATTTTTTGTTAATATATTACTTTTTATCTATTTTAAAAGCCCCGCTTGTAAAATAAATATCATGTTTTGGTAGACAATATTTATTATTGCAAATGACTGAAATCTCGACTAAATTCCAAGCCAACATCAAGGAACTGCAAATTTATTCTATAAATAATCAAACAAGGTCCAAAATGTAGTATTGTAAAGCATTCAGTAGATTTAGAAGAATGGTTTGCAATAGAAGTTAACCTTGGAGCTTTTAGAAGAATCCTTTATTTAGAGCACATGCTTACAATGGGCAGTCAACAGGAAGGGAATTTTGCATCAACAAGAAAAGAAAGAAAATACACCTGGCATTTGCAAAATGTCTAGAAAGCGAAGTTTTATTGCATTGGAACAATGCTATTTTAGCAGTAAAGTCAAAATTTAATATATTTGGGTCCAACAGATGAATTAAAAACTGACTGTAAAATATAAAGATTATAAAAATTTAATTTTAACAAAATTCATTAATGCAGATCTTAAATTCAAGCGTGATTTAAAAATTAAGTTTATACAGTTTTGTTTTATATTACATTTATTTTAATTGTTAGCTTCCATATATATATTTATAAATATTTAATATTCATTAAGTGTTATATTTTGTAAGATGCATTTAATTGACATTTATATTAAAAAACGTATCATAAATAACAAAGAAAAACATGTAACACACAACAATGCTTAAGAGGCAACTAAGAATTACCTCTTGTCATCATAAGACACATTTCACAATTAAATATAAATGTAACAGTACTGTCATAACACTTTAATCTTTCAATTAATTATAAAATTACTTGTATTCTCCGAAAACTCACGTGCATCCAACCTAGCATTTGAACCCAGATCGATTTACCTATATTTCAATGATATATATAGTACAATTTATCCATAGGCATAATTAGGTTTGGGAATGTTTCACTACATTTCAAACAAGAAATTAATTGATTATCAAAAATAATATTAATGTAAACCTGAAAACATCTGAAAGAAGCCCATTTTTGTTTACTTTTTAAACTACCGTATTTGACGGCATATAAGACGCACTTTTTTTCCTAAATTTGGTCTGAAAAAAGTTGCCTGCGTCTTATACGTGAAGGTAATTGCATTCAATAATTGTCTATTTGGCTTTTACTAAACATGAGAACTAAAAGAAACCATGCTATTGAAACTTTTTTCCCTTGTGTGTTGCCGTCTAAATAAGGCTGCGTCTTATATGCCGTCAAATACGGTAATAATGTCTGAAAAATGTAGGAAATTGTTTCAGAAAATTAAAATTAAATTATTGTGAAAATCTGGAATAATACAAAACATTCATATTTTAAAAAATAAAACAAGAATTTGACATTTATAATTTGCATATATACTATAGAAATTCAACAGTCCAAATGTGGTGATATATTTCTCATCTTGTTTATTGATCTATTTCTGATTTTCTATTTTCAAAGCAAAATTTTGCATGAGTTTTATTACAAAAGCATGGCCCAGATTATTGTAAGCATGTATTAAAACCAAATTTCAGTTTACATTTCAAAACTGTGAAAATTGTAAATATAGCAACAATCAAATTCTTTAGTTTGCACATGTAGATTTTTGTTTCAAATGAATAGCAAGAAATCATGTTTCTTAATGAGCACAGGTTTTTCATACATATAAATGCATACCGAAGGGGGTAGTTAAGATATAATCTGGTACTAATTTCTCAAAAATTTATTTCAAATACATTAAATCCCCTAATTCTTAAACTGAGGGGAGGGGAATTTGGAAGTAGAAATTAGCTTATGTATCTTATAAATAAAGGCTTTCAACTGAATCCCTAATACCTAGATCATACAGTTGCCTGAGTATTTTTCATAGATTATAGCTTATATAAAGCTGAAAAACTTTTAATATTTTACAATGGAATAGTAAGAAAAATTATTGTTCTTTTTAAAAACAACAGTTGACAGATGGTTAATTTTATAAACTTAATGTAAGAACTTCATTTACATGGCTTTAAATATTATTTAATCTAATGCCTTGTTAAAAAAGTTAAATCTGAGGTAGGAAAAAAGCATTAAATTACTTTATACAGAAATTATCCGTTGCTGCTGTAGTATATGTGACTTATATAAAACTGTATTAAATCATTTACATGTTCTCTTTTTCACATTTGATAATTTAACATAATTATGTGCATTTTCAAATATCAATTTGAGGAAGCTTCACTCTCTCTATATATATTATAAAATTACTGTTAATAAATATACAATAAAAGACTATTTTACACTTTCAAGTCAAAATAATGAAAGTTGTGAATCACTTGAATGTTAAAAATGAATTGAATGCTTGACAAATGCTAAAAAAAATGAAATGAAACCATTCAAATCTACTTAACTTAAAATTAATGAGGGAGTAATGACTAAGTATTGTTTTCAGTAATTCATATTAAATAAGGGAAAATTATACAGTAATGTTATTTTACAAAATTGAATGTAGTTTCAAAATAAAAAATAGCAAACTATTTTTATCAATTTAAATAGCTAAAAATTTCTAAATTCCATATCAAAATACATAAAAAGTATAAATTAGAACTCTAATTACAAAACAGTTCAATTTAAATTGTAGGTGGCATTTATGTTTCATCTATATTTTCATGCTAAATAGTTTCACTAATGGATACTTTCACAACCACTATCTTGCATTCTGTCTTTGAGTTGGTTCAAATCCTCTACAAGGTTTAGAGTTAAATTGCACAACTGATCAATTGTATCTGTGGAGCCAAAGCTTTCTGCTTTAGGAAATTCTAAACCACTGAAAAAAATTTTAATATAAACTTACAGATATGTTTTTTTACATATTTATTAATCCTTTATATGTAAAGTATTTCAATATTTTCAATACAAATAAAATTAGTTTTGTTAACTCATCAATGATAAAATTTTAATTTAGTAAAACTAGTTGCATATGTAACAAATACATAATTGCCTTCATTGAAGTTTATAAATATAAATCAAATAATGTAAAAAATGAAAATTGGATTTCCAATTTCCTTAGATTCATACTAGCTAAGTTTAATAAGTAAAAAAATATTCTTCTATTCTTTTTGTAAAAGATTTATTGAAAAATCTTGTGACAAAAGCCCCCCCCCAAAAAAATCAATAAAATAAAAGTTTCTATGACAGTTCAAGGCCTTCAAATACAATTTAAGTAGTGCAATATGCTATTAAATATTTCAAAAATATAGCATTAACTGTAAGTTGATTTTAAGACTTTCAGAAATAATATCTGAAAACGGGAAGTAACACTTAATCACTAAATTTTAGTTGTTTTTTATTTATACATTTAAAACTCAAATAAAAATCCCAATCTCAAAACAAATGTTTTACATACACACAAATACCTACCTAAAGCCTATATAACTTTCAGGTTTAATTTTTTCACAAGCAGGATTGCTAGCATCATTTGCTTTTGAAATTTGATCTTTCAGTCTCATTAGAACTCTCTTCATTTCTTGGTTCTGTGGAGCAAGTTTAAGAGCTTCTACTATATCTGCCAAAGCACTTTCATGTAATCTGGGAAAAAGAAGAGAAATATCCATTCAGAAAATTTCTAGATAGTTTACACATAATATTAAACATACAGTTAATTACACTGTGCTTATAAGTTATAACCACAAAATACTAATAAACAGAAGATTTTGTCACAAAAACTACAGAGAATATGGAACAACTTAGTCTTTAAGTTTATGAAAATGTAAATGGCATTGTTAATTCAATATAACTTGAAATTAGAATAAAAAACTTCTATGTGACAGAACAGTAAGAATATTTATCAATAAGTTCACAAAGGATTACTTTAAAAGGGTAACACATATTTTAAATTATAGTAGTCCTGTAAATGTAATATTTGAATAAAGTTCTCCATTTGTTTTTGCACATATTTTTCAATATTCTCTTTTCATTTGATATATTTTAATAATCTATTAAACTGTTATTCATGGATAATTTCATTAGTTAATTTAGAAATTAAGATAACTTTAACAATAAAATCAATTATATTATGAAGCAGCTAATGTATACTTCTCAAAATATTAAAATAGCGATTTTCCTTGAGAATCCAGTGAGTAATGAAAAAAGACGTTCACATTCTAAAATTTTGAAGTCCACAGTTTGAAACTTTGTACCAGGAAGCAATGTTACAGCTTTAAATTCCTGGAACTTCACAAATTTTCTTACACAAAAGTAGGCTTCCTAAGTTCAAACAGAAAAAAAACTTAATAATGGTGATTTGAAATGAATTTATTTTCTAGCACAAAAAAAAAAAAAAAAAAAAAAAGTGTGTAGTTATAAAAGATTGCAGTTACATGTTAACATGTAAAAATGACATGTTAATTATTTAAATTAATATAAGCAAGTTACCATCAATTATATATTTGGCTAATTTTTCTCTCATTTCACAGTTCGAGATATCAAATATCAGTTTCTTGCCCCCCCCCACCACTATTTGATTTTCTTCTAATTCTTTTGTGCAAAGTTGGCAACTTGTCAACTTCTGTTAGCCACTTAGCAGAACATAGTGTTAGGCATATTAGAGAGGTTCTCAAAGTAGGGCAGATAATCCTTTGCTCTTCCCTCATTGTTGTCTAAAGGTCTTTCAGAGTTTCTCAGCTGTGAATGCATACCTTTTGAAATCAATACTTCCAACAGCTTGTAACAGCAACATTCATGTGATTGATATGGTGCATAGCTGTCTGCCTTCATGCCGCTCTAGCATCCCAACCTTCTTGAACACATCTAGATGTTAAATTCTTTGCAGAAGCATAATACACTTTAAACCGATGGTTATAGATTGTTTAACTCTCTCATGACTTTTTTTTTTTTCATGGCATGGTATATATTATAAATAATAAGAAGAAATATTTTGCTTTCTTACTTTAATGATGTAAGTATCAGGTTTTAATGAAAGTTTCCTGCCACTGCAAATGTTGTCTGGGCAAACAGTTTGTGTTGGCATGTTAGATCATATTTTGTCAAAACATTTGTGGTATTTGAAAGAAAGAGACTTGCTTTAGAACCATGCGTTGTGAAATTTATAAAAACATATCATTATCATTCAGGTGTCTGAAGTGCAACTATAATGCTACCAGATTAGAACCATCATTTACTTTCAGTTCTATAGTAGTTTCAGTAAACTACCCAAACACTGGCAGAGAATCATACAATTCGGTGGTGGTTACTACTTGCACTAAAGGTACTGCTTACATGTTTTTCCCCGCCTCCCTTAACGTTTTTTGGTGGAAAACTTTCATTACAATCAGATATCTTAATGAATATAAGTTTAAGATAATATAGACTAAAATAATTAGCTAATAAATGCTCTTTAAATGCAGGTTTAATAACCAGATCCCAAAACCTGTGCCATTCAGAGGGTTACAAGCTATTACATTTATAAAACCACTTTAAAATTCTACTTTTTATGCAAAATTAATTAGCTAAGAGTTTTTATCTATAGAAGTAGTAATATATACTAGTAATGGCACTTGTGTATTGTAAAATGTCTTCATAATATTGAATACGGGGGGGGGGGAGAGGTGTAATATTTTTGCAGGGTATTATTAGTTATTTAATACCTAATATAGTCCTATATGACTTTAAAGGGCTCTTCAAACAGCTTTTACAATAGGTGTTCAAAAATCAAATACTAATACAATACCAGATCTGAACTACATATGACAAATTTTCTAGATACAAGAAAAGAAAAATCATGCTTAACTTTCTGACAACTTCAGTCAAAATTATTAGTTGACATTTAAATCTAAAATTCTAAAATGCATCTGATATCCTTAAAAATTAAATAGAAAAGCAATTGAAAAATTATACCATACCCAAGAGCTTCATGTGCTCTACATCTGGCATAATACCCTTCAAAAGACTTTGGTTTCAAGAGAATTGCCTGCTCTGCGACTTCTACAGCTAATGCGAGTTCCTATATGAATAAAATAAGAAATATATGGCAGTCATCAGAATTACTTTAAGCTCCATGAAAAATGTTACACAGTATTAAATAAATATCACTAACACTACATGTTAGTGATATTACTAACATTACATGTTAGTGATATCACTAACATGTGACAATGTCATTAAGGTGACTCAGAAATATCAGACATGTCAAATAAATGCATTGTATACTGTAAAGGGAAATAGTATATTAAATTTGAAACTCCATTTTTCTCATTTTAAGTAAGAGCCACGATTTAGCTCATATATTTAATAAATTTGGCATTGATCATGATAAGTTTTAAATGACAAGTTACAGTTGCAAATGGATGTTTGCATTCTATACACCATGTTGCAACTGATCACTACTGGTGGTGATTATTATCTATTTATCGTGCAGAATGAAATAACTGATAACAGCCTAGAATGATTATGCAGTTTAAGAGTCGAGAAAGATGCAATATTGTAGCTGTCAACAGCAGAAAAGGAATAAAGGTCCACCCTTTATAATGAAAAACATCCAGAAATTATCCAAAAGGATTCACTAGCACAGTGATATGAGTGAGATAGTATTCAAACAGGCAAGCAATAAAATGAGTCTAGTCAATTTTGTTGTACGCAATGTATTCCTGTAAAACCTTTTTCTAAGACAAAATGCAATTACCATTAGTCTAAACATAAAAGGTCTTCGAATATTTGCAGCTTTAAAAAAAAAAAAAAAAAAAAAAAAAAAAAAAAAAAAAACTAATCAATAGCTTTTAAAATCTAATAATTTTTTTAATAATAATAATAATGTTATAGTAAATGAACAGTTCATAAAAACAGATAAAACATATGTGCTGTGTAGTTTCAACCACCAGAACATGAAATATAGCACATTTAAAAGCCTATTTAATATGAAAAATTTATGAATTTTCAACAATTTCGGATTCTGAATTCCTAGCTATTCTGTACTATTCAAGAATTTCACTTTCATGTATGTTTTAAAATATTTCACATAATACATTTATAATACATCTAAAACCAGATTACTTAAATTATTACTCTAAATCGCAATTATCAGAAAGATTGTAAATAAATACTTTATTTATGTATGTCTTTATTTATGCAATGTTGTAGTTTTCCTTTAGAAATAACTAAAAGCTATCTAAGAAACAGAATACCTTGCTTTGGAGGGAGAAACGATCATATGGGTTTAGTGTAACCATAAATGCAAATTTATTAGCCACCAAAACACTATAAGGTACACTGCTCAAAAAAAAAAAAAAAAAAAAAAAAAAGGGGGGGGGGACATCTCCCGTTCTACTGGGCCGATTGACAAAATTCAAACTGCGTTTTTCATGTCTCGAAAGCGCGACTTGGGATATATATTAGATTTATGTATAGCACTATTCTAACATAGGTATTTTGCACACAATCGGACTTTTTCTGAAATAACATACCAATTTTTCTCCATATTTCGATTCTACGACTCAAATTATGCCAGAATACCAAGTTTTGTAAAAATCGTACAACTAGTTTTTAAAATATTAGCTCCTCAATGTTAATTGAATTTGGCAAATATTTATTAATATCTCTTTTTTTATTAAACTTTTTTGATTTTTTCTCTCACATTTCGAAATTTAGGTTCATTCCAAATAAAATTTACCCATTTTTTGTGTTTTATTTTTAAATTTCTATTTTTAAATAATTTTTATAAATTTTTCGAAAAAAATTTTGAATTATAACCTATAAAATTTTTACCATCATCATAAGGTAGGTGTATTTTTAAGCATATCTGCAAAAAATTAAACTTTTTTATTCAAAATTTTCTAAGATATACACGAATTTACATATTTTCGTGTTTTGAAATTTGGCACCTTTTTTTTGAGCGATAATAACGCCAAATGTGGTCTATGGATTTTGGTTACACTGAATTGCCACAGCTATTTTTAACGTTAAATTTCAAGTAAAATTTTATGGAGAATTAATTATATGAAATTTTTTCCCTCAATAAGGCGTAATAATATTTATTAATACTATATGAAAAGCTGTTTTTTTAAATTATAGATGATATTATTCAAATTTTAACAATGTTTTTTAATTTCTCTCTTTCTTCCTTTTTTTTAAAAAAAAATAAGAGTACATTTTTCTAAGAGTAAATTTTTACCTTCGGCGTTTTATCATCTGCTACTTTACTTCGTTTAAATCGAATTGTCTAAAACTGAGAATTTTCGTTTGATGTTTATTTGAATTTTATGACATTAACTGCATAATTTATTTCTAAACAAACTGTTGCTTTTGAAGTGGCTGAAAGAGCGGCAGATACTATCATCCATATTTTTAAAGCGTATATTTTTATAGAAACATAAGGTTTAGAATAATCATTTATATAAGTCAAATTATGATATAAACATACAACCCTCTAGAGACTGAATTACTGGAAGTTCAATGGTTATGTAGAAATGATCTGCAGCTACTTAATGGCTGGATAAGTCAGTAGCTTCTGTGGACAAGTATGAATAATTATATAAGCGACACACAACATTCTGGATTCAATTAACAACGAGGATACGATGTTTATTAAATGAATTTAAGAAGTTTTAAAACATAAAAAATCAACTCATTTTTTATCCTAAAATGTATTTTTGTGTGTAGCGTATTTTCAATATATCCTTAAAATTCTAATTTAGAAATGTAATTGTCAAGAACTGAATTCCTATCATCAGTAATATAATAAGTAATTATTACGGTTATTAATTAAATTCTTCTTATAAAAGTAATTTGCAAATATTTCAAAAAACTTTCTGTGAATGCAAATATTTTTCTACGCAAAAATTTTTAATTTTATATTAAATCAAGATTGCACAACGATATTATTTATTTGCACTTCAATTTTTACTGTCAGCTCTAGTAGAAGTTACAAATCAGTTATATTTAATTAAGGATTGGATTAGATTATTTAATTATGGCAAAGCACACGAGGGCTATCTGCCTAAAGGGAGGGATGACTTTGTGGAGGACTTTCTAAGGTAAACTGGCTCGTATACACGTTACACATGGGGAAAACCACGAAAACGCCCATACAGCCAGCCCGTTCGCGGAATTCGAACTTCAGACCGAACTACCAGTGCTCAGCGTCTTTACCGCTCGGCCGCTGGTGGGCTATTTAATTAAGGAATGACCATCTAAATTTAGAAACAGCCAACCTCACCACCAGGAGGGAAATGGCACTGTATGCAATATTTTTAAACAAAATATGGGTCGGAATTTAACTTAACCTTTTGTTACACGGGTTTAATATGTTGTATACCCTTAAGAAATTGTGAAGTAAGCAAATTACCATTTAAAGGTGTTAAATTCGATAAACGTGGAGTGCGCCATCCGTGTGAGAAATTCGTCCGTGAAAACCACGAATTAGCAATTAGAAAATGTGAGATCGCAAATCACTCGCACAAGTGCGTACAATCTGGAAATCGTTTTCTTACAGATCGCTAATTTGTAATTTTTGAAGCCTGAATTCGGCCCCTAAAACATGAAGATACTGATTCAAAATGCTTTTAATCGATTTAGGCCAAAGAAATCTCTCATCTTATCTATCTAGTTCCATTGCATTCGCCTACTGCATTCGATTGCATAGCAGTCATACTACACCGTTTAGTGTTGAATGACAGCTAGTTTTATAACTGAACTATTTTTCTCTGAAGAGCAGTCGATAGCTGGACCACTGTGATTGCAGCTCACTTAGAGTCAATGTTAAAATGTTTCGTGATACATGAACTGCAGTAACGTGGCATTTTAGATACTAGGATTTTTACGCAGGGCTGGGCTCCACCTCAGATGTGTCGCACAGCTACTTAGGCAACATTTCACGAATGAACGTCTTAGAGGCCGACACTTCCCATCTTCCCACCAGGACCTCAACCTCTGTGAATTTTAGCTATGGGGTTATCTCAAAAGCACTGTTTCTGGTGATAAACAATTTTGCAGAAATGAAAAATGTGATACACCGATATGTCCATAACATTCCTCTTGATATGCTAAGAGCTGCTGTTGAGAATGTGGTAACAGGATTTAACTTGCTTTCGGAAAATGCTGGAGGCTACTTTGAACATGCTTTGTAACACGTTTCGGAAACAATTAAACACATTTTAAACCGATATTTTCATGTCTTATTTCATTTAACAATATCGCATACAGTGCCATTTTTGCCCCTGGTGGCGAGTTTTTGAACTCTTCCCCTTCCCCCCCCCCAAAGATGTTTCAAAAAGTTAGACGCTTTTGAATATACTTTCAGGATACTTTAAAGAATTTAGGTGTTCAAAGAGAAAACACTTGGACGTGTACCCCAGCAAATACCATCAATTCAGCTCATGTTAACAGAAAAGACAAAAACGATATCATTGCACATTAAAGTGAAGAGCGACTGGTTTTAGACTATATGGTTCGTTTTTAGACTGGTAGTTCGGTCCGAGGTTCGAATCCCGCGAACGGGTTGGCTGCATAGGCGTTTTCGTGGTTTTTCCCATGTGCAACGTGTACATGAACCAGTTTCCCTTAGAAAGTCCTCCACGAAGGCATATCTCCCGTTAGGCAGATAGCCCTAGTGTGCTTTGCCATAATTAAATAAACCAAAACCTCTTTATTAAACCAGCCTTTCCGTTCATCTAATACTTTCAAAATGCTAACCTCTAAAGATTAATAAAGGCTCTGACTTAAATACTGATGAAATGGATTGAACTGGATTATTAAGTTACGGCAAAGCAGGGCTATCCGCCTAAAAGGAAGGATGCCTTTGTGAAGAACTTTCTAAGGGAAACCAGCTGGCATACACGTTATACATGAGAAAATCCATGAAAAGGCCCATGCAATCCACCCGTCTACCGGGATTCGAACCCCGGAGTGAACTACCAGTGTTCAGCGACTTTACCGCTCGGCCGTTTTTGGGCCTTTATGAAATGGAAGTCGATAACTTTATTTAAAATGATTGTCAAAAATATCAAGATA